CCCCTTCTTTGTCTTCTGTAAAATTGGATTTTTTTTTTTTAAATCTTCTCGTCTGTGAACAGGACACATTTGGACAGGTGTACGGGGAAGACCCACCTGTCCCAGGAGATGCTCTGGGAGATGTCGGCGGGGGCCGGTCTGCAAGCCCGCATGCTCTGGGCAGGGCTGGTGGCATGCAGACGAGCCCCCCTGACTGTGCAGGTGGCTCTGACTTATCCCTCTCCCAGGAAGTCTCGTTTGTAACTCAGACCAAAGGCCCGCTTTAACGCTTGGATCCCAAATCCTCAGGTTATAAAGGCTTGGTAGCATCTCTTTAATCGTTATTCCCTGTTCTTTTTTAATTGCACAAGCCATGCAATGAAACAGTTGAGGATATCTTCAGAAAAGCAACTTGCATATTCCTGCTCTCCTGGCATGTCGTGTATCTCCTTTATTCCAGGGTCTCTCCGCCTGTGCGGACATAATTTTTATTTGATAACAATTAAGGCAGGAGTACAATTAGGCTTTGACTTTTCACGTATGTTTGTATCTTAAATATTCCTTCCTATTACGTAGTATCTTCATAGCTGCCATTTAACGGCTACGCTCTCACCCGCTGACTGGATTAACTGTGATTTCACTTGGTCACTCTTTATCTTCTTTCCTGTTCTTAATGGTTATCTTTTCCTTTTTGTTTCTGTAGGAAGTTCTCCAGCAGCTGATTGTGATGAATTTGCCCAATGTCCTGATGATTGGCAGAGACCCGCTGTCCGGTGAGTGAGAGCGCCCCGCCCCGCCCCCACGCCCGGGCAGTGCCGCGGGCCCTGGGCAGCTGTCGGCCGAGGGCGCTGGCTGCCAGCTCGGCTGGCACAGTGGTGACACGTGATCGTTCGGTGGGATTTGAAAGAGTGGGTTCATTACCCTGACGCTTTAAGCCAAGAGCACATTTCTTCCTTAAGGGCGAATTCTCCCTGACCCTCAGCCGTGTGTACAGAGCCGGATCCGGCCACGGCTGGGTTCCTCCTAGAACGGCGGGTCTGGGTTCAGGTGCCTGAGTTGCGTGGCGGGCTCTCCCCTCCGCAGTCAACGTGGACTCAGATGACAAGACAGTAAGAGCTCTTCGGGGAACTGATGTCTGTCTTCACTGGGATCCCTTGAGGCTTCGTTCCTGTTTGGTGACAGAGCTCCCCAGGGTGTGTTGTCATTTATCTGTCTCCCTGCTGGGCTCTGAGCCCCCGGCAGGCGAGGAGCTGGCTCCTCCTGGTCTTTGAGGCTCAGCGTGAGTTTGAAAGACCCGGTTAAACGTCCCCCTGGCATCTTCCAGAAAGTCCGAGCTTAGTTCATACCTGGTCAGGTAACTCGCTGGGTGCATTAGGCAGAGTGGGGGCCACCTCCCTCTCACGAGTGTGTGCATTTACCTGCACCCGTGGCTTGCGGACATCAGCGCATGGGCCCCAGGGACAGACTTATTTGCTGGCCAGGACTTCTCTTGCTCCCGGGTAGAGATCTCGTGATCATTTTGGAGCCCGAGGTCTAGGACCCCCTGGCATAGGTGGGAGGTGTCAAGGGAGGCAGGGAGACTCACACCTCTAGGATGGGGACAGGCTGGGGGACCTGAACCCTAGCGGCCTCTGCAGAAGGGACTTGGGCTTCCCTCTGTTGGCGTCTCCTCGCCCCAGTCTCACTGCAGTCTGGCTGTCCTTTCGCCAGTCAGTGTGACAGTAGCTAAAGCTGCCTTGAGACTGCGGGAAAGAACACCAAGTGACCTGCCGAGGACGTGACTCGCAGCGGAGCAGCTCTGTTTCAGTGCCACGGCCCTGGGAGCCTTGGCAGCAGCCTCCCCGTGCAGTGAGGGGCGGGGGGCTCCTTCTGGCCTCCCGCTGGCTGATGTGTTCGCCTTTTCTCTGCGTGAGCCGAAGGGAAGAGGTTTCCTTGACCTCCCATTGGTTTCCAGCAGGCCGGCCCGTGGGCGCTCACCGCCTCGCCTGGTGGCTCCGAGCATTAGTGGCAGGGAGCCTTTGGTTCTGCTCACCCCCAGCTCTGCCTCTGGGCCGTGCGTGCTCACAGCTCCCCCAGAGAGAGGTAGGGGACGCCAGATGCGGCCCATCCTGGTGCAGTCCTGGGCTCCAGGGGCAGCTGGGACTCCGCGATTTCTAGTTACTTCAGGCAAGCAGGGTCTGTGTCTCTGTGGGATCCGAGCCCCCTTTCTGATTCACTTGGGGGCTGGCGTTAAAGGGGGGATGAGGCCGGGCGAGGTGGCTCACGCCTGTAATCCTAGCACTCTGGGAGGCCGAGGTGGGCGGATTGCTTGAGGTCAGGAGTTCAAAACCAGCCTGAGCAAGAGCGAGACCCCGTCTCTACTATAAATAGAAAGAAGTTAATTGGCTAACTAATATATAGAGAAAAAAATTAGCCGGGCATGGTGGCGCATGCCTGTAGTCCCAGCTACTCGGGAGGCTGAGGCAGGAGGATCGCTTGAGCCCAGGAGTTTGAGGTTGCTGTGAGCCAGGCTGACGCCACGGCACTCACTCTAGCCTGGGCAACACAGTGAGACCCTGTCTCAAAAAAAATCGGGGGAGAGGGGTGCAGGTCCTCGGCTCCGTCCGCTGTGGAGACAGCGGGGCGCTCCCCGAGCCCGCCATGAGCCCACCGTGAGCCGGGCGTTGCATGGATCTTAAAAAACGGAAATAAAAGTGTGCTTCTGATGTGTGGCTGTGCCGCCCCCATCTGTAGATGGGGGAACTGAGGCGCATAGGGTTTAGGGGGACGCCCTGGGTCACTCTGCCCGGGAGCGGAGGGGCTGGGTGGAAGCCTGAGCTCCTGTCTGCACCGCACGCAGACATTGAGCGTCAGGCTGAGCCGCGGGCAGCTGCCACATGCAGCCTTTCTGACCTACACAAACGGCGGTGACATACGGTCCACCTCATGTTAAGCATGTTCCCCCCCCCCACCTTCAGCTACCGTGTCACCTGCGTAACTTGCCCACCTTCCTGCCCCAGTCGGTGTCCCCCTTCCACTGCCGTCTGGAAGCCTGCCCTCCCCGCGCCCCTGCTCCACTGCAGAGAGGCTGGCCACAGGCAGAGAACGTAGGCCCCCACCTTGGGGCTGGCACCAGACAGGAAATCTGTTGAGATGTGGACGGTGATTTTTTTTTTTAAAAACAGCTTTATTCAGTTATAATTTGCATATTATAAAATTCACCCATCTTAAGTGTATAATTCAGGTTTTTTTTTTCACATATGTATAGAGAGTTACGCAACCCTCACCACAGTCTAGTTTTAGAACATTATGGGGATGCTGATTTTAAACTGTTGACTGGTAAATTGAATGTCCCTGGGACCCAGCATAGTATATAATCAGTACACGTTGATCAAAGAGGTTCCCGTCCCACCTCCAAAGGAGAAGCTGGAGAGACGAGAGAGGTGAGCTTTGGGGAAGTTGAGGGTGAGAATAACACCTGTCGCAGGGAGCTCAGAGGGTCCCCAGGCAGGGCTGATGGACGTGCCAGACCGTGGCCTCGGCAGGCTGCACACGGAGGGCGGGATGTCAGGTGGGGGAGTGTGTGTGAGCCGGGTGCACGGATGGGCAGCTTTGACGGAGGTCCCCGGGGCTCCGCGAGCAGAGGAGGTCGGCAGGGGACAGCCATTGGCAGGAAGACGCAGGCACAAGTGCCAGAGGCGGAGAGACATGTTTATGAAATAGTGCTTTCAGTTTTAAGTTTTAAAAATAGATGTGTGAAGCTTTTTGTGTTCCTTTTTAAACAAAGTTGGTTTTCTTTTTCATTTGTGTGGTTGCCAGGGTGCCTAGGGCGGTATGCTTTTTAACTAAATCTGTCACACGCGAGTATGAGGGGCATGCTTGTGCTCTTTTTGGTGGATGCTGACAACATGCTGTTATTTATAACAGTTTACGGTTTTGGGTCATTTTTCTGTTTGGGACAAATATATCACAGTGGAACCAGGTCCCAGATTTCAGATCCCATCAGGGCATCTAGTTCATCTTCTTCCCCACAACACAGTGACACTAAAAGATCCCGAGAGGCCAAGCACTTGTTCCCCTTTCTGTGACCTCAAAGAGAGATGCCACCACTCACACTACGACGAGATTGTTCTGTGTGTCTTACTTGCCTCCTGCACCCGCCAGACAGAAGGATGTTCTCTCGTTTCCCACGCCGCGTGGAATTCAAGGACAGAGCAGTGGTTGTGAGTCAGCACTTCATATAAACTTTTTTTTTGGACAGTATGGCCAGGAGGGGTATAAATTGCTTTCGAAATCTCTCCTCGGCATCTGCCCCACCTGGCCAGAACTTCTCATCCGTTATGCTGTGGCGTGTACCTTGGACGTCCCCAGGATTTCCTCTCTGATCGAGCTGCAGTTTCGCTGCTGTCTCTCAGCTGCGCCCACGTCCCTCCCCGGGCAGGGGCTGTCCGGTGCCTCCTCACTGTGGACCCCGCTGCTCGGAGCACAGCCTGGGCTCTGGCGGGAGCCTGCTTGAGCCCCTCCCCCACTTTGCTGTGACGGCACTGGGCAGAAAAGGCCCCCCAACCCGCCACCACCCGTAGCAGTGGTGTGCAGGCTTCTCAGGGCCCAGCGTCACCGGGTCCCTTGGCTCTGCTTTGAGCACACCCCAGAAGCTGAGCTCTCCTCTCCTCCTCCTTGCAGCCCGCTGGGTCTAGCCACCAGGGCCGCCTCCCCACCCCCACCCCCTGCAGTCTGCTCCCTGCACCATCATCTAAAGGCAGCCGATGATGTCACCTTGTGGCCCCCTCCCGGCACTAGGCCTGTGCACTGGCCGGTCCTGCCACCTGTGGTGCTCTCTCCTCGGTACCTGCTTGCACAGTTGCTGCAAGTCCCTGCTCAAGTGCTGCCCTGTCGGGGTGCCCCCAGCCCCTCTCTCCCGCAGCAAGCCCACCCTCCTCCCCCCACTCTGTTTTCCTGTTTTCCAAAGCTTTTCTCACCTGCAAATGCACTCTATAATTTACTTATTTTTTCCTGTCTGTGGCCTTGCTTACTTTCCCCCCAGGGTGGCCTTGCTGTTGGGTGCAGGAGTCTTTTGTTGCCTTTGCCATTGTATGCCAAGTGTCTAGATCGGAGGCCCGCCTTTATCTCTTCCTCCTCCTCCTCCTCTCCCCGTGTTAGCCACAGGATCTTGTGGACAAAAAGGTCAAGTGTCAGTGGTCAAGGTCAGATGAGATTCAGTCCCTGGCCAGCACCACTGGTGTGTCTCCCCCGGGCTAGAGATGACCCCCCTGAAAATCGCCTTTCACCCCACCATCTTGCTGGTTGCACGTTAGTTAAACATATTTCTGCGGTTTACCGATGAGTGTGTTCTACCAGAACCCTTATGGAAACCAAGAGCTCACGTCTGCCCGATCTGTAGAAGGAGGGGGTGTTGGAGAGCTGGGCCGGCCCCGGGTCCCTCCAGCTCTCGCTTCTCGGCAGCCAGGCCTGTCACTGTGCCACACGCACAAATAAAGACTAGATTTGTCAGACAGGAAGCCAGGGTGTTAGCAAATTAATTTCTGTGGTGAATCATAGGACAGTCACGCTGGAAGAGAGCATTGTTTCATCGCCCAAGGTTTGTATCCAAGTGCACTAGTGGTTTCCAGGTTTGTAAATTGCGGATCCCCCTAAGCCGTTTAGAATGGAAGGGAGTGAGCTGTAGGTGTGTAGAGACCCGGCCCAGGGAGGGGAGGAGCTCATTCAGAGGCACACAGCGTGGAGTCCCAGCGTAAGAGATGGATTTAACACCATAAACTGTGCAGGTGCTTGTGTTGGTGGACGGTTAGCCACTGGTCCCAAGCAGGAGGACTGGCTGCTGGCACTGTACTGCCCCAAAGTTTCTCAACGTTATAAATGTCAAGCAGGATTCCTGGGAGCCCATGGGGGGCTGTGACCCCATATGCACACCCTGCAGGGCCTGATGTGGCCCTGGCTCCTAAGTTTTCTCCCTCTCAGGGTGATTACAGACTGGCTTCTAGCAGCAGAGAGAGCTGTTAGGGGAGTCAGTTCTGTGCACACGAAATGCTGTGGATGTCCTTCCCTCCCAGCCAAATGCAGGAGCTGTTACACCTGCTGCTCTGGCTGAGGAAGGCCCCGTGTCTGCCCTCCCCAAACAGAGGACGGGAGCGCCCTTGCATCCTTCCTTGGCTTTGCTGGCCGCCCCTCAGACAGACGCTCATGGAAGGAGCTCAGCCCGGCCTCTGCTCCAGCTGTCCTTGTCCACACACCCACTGCGCTGCTCTGCAGATGAACAGGCCGCCTGTGCTCAGGAAGGCCCCACCTGCATTCGAGCCGGGAGGGCAGGAAGACAGAGTCAGTCCATGAGGCCGATGATGGCTGTTCCAGGATGGAAGGAGGCAAGAGCGTGCTTCACACGCAGAGCATAGGGGCTCACGAGTTCTGCCTGGGCAGGTCAGGAAGGCTTCCTGGAGGAGGCAGTATCTGGGCATGGCTTCAAAGAACGCTCGACAGAGAATTAGTAGCCTAGGTGGAATGAGCTCAGGGGAGTGGAAATGTGCTAGGAGCCCCGCGAGTAGCAGCGGGGTGGGGTGGGCAGGGAGGAAGTCTCCTGTGACAGCTCAAGTTCAGGTTTCAGAGGCAGCGGGGGAACAGAACTCTTGAAACTTCTTGGAATTTAATATTTAACCTTCTCGGTGTTTACTTGCTCTCCTGCCAGGGGCGTTCTTCGAGTGCTTTTCAGATCCCCTGGAAACCCCCTCTCGCAGCCCACGCTGCGCAGCTCTGCCTTTGGGTGGCCACGAGGGCTCGTGGGGAGCAGTCCCTGCCGCTGAGGTTGTGTTTTCACAGGTCAGGGGGCGTCTTGCCCCCCGCCCCGTGCCCTGCTTGCTGGGTCCGGGGTCCACCATTCAGGCTCAATGAGCCATTCTGTGCCCTTTCCCCCGCCTTTTCTTCTTGTTTTTATCTTATTTCCTGGCACTAATTCTCTAATCCTGTGTGTCTGTGTGTGTGTGTATATATATATTTTTTAATTAATTTTGTATTTGTAAAAACCTTGGAGCATTTGAATGGGAGGGAAAGAAGTAAGTCAGTCTTTTTATTTCCTTTGAAAACCAATCTTGCAAGTAAATGTTGATTGTTCTACTATTTCCCGTTTTGTCCTTGAGAGAGCAGGTCCCGAAAAGCAACCAAACGCCGCCTGCTCCGCTGCCCAGCTGTGCTGCTGGTCACATTCAGAGATGAGTCCTCCAGCCAGGCTGCAGGGCAGGGGGTTGCCGGGCACTTGAGCTAAAAGCCAGGGCTTCCTCTTCTAGGAACGGGCAAGGCTTGGCCGGCACTAAGTGCAGGCGAGCGGCTCAGCACGGCCGCCAGCCCGGCCCCTGGGCAGCCCTGGGGATCTGCCTGGATACCAGACTTTGTTTAGTAAACTTCTTAGCGATGGTCCGGGCGCAGAGAGACGCTCCGCTGGCCGCGACAGCCACGCCATGGCTTCCAGCAGGACTGCTCTCTGCAGCTGTGGCCGTCCCAGGAGGAGGGAAGAGATGTTGTTTGTCAAAGGTCTTTCTGTTTGGAGTTTTCCGCCTGGGGCTGGGGGGACCATTTCTCAGATGTCTCCTGTCTGCCCTGGCATCTTGCCGCCTTCCAGGGCAGACTCTGGGTTTCAGGCTGAAGCCTTGTGGTGGATTCTGCCTCTCTGGTTGTTTTCAGTTGTTCGGTGCCGGGAAATGAATGAGCTCTTACCTTCTGCAGCCTCAGCAGGCGGGTGGGGTAGGAGTCATTTTTGGGGTGACAGTGCTCTGAGGGGCTCAACGTGGTTGTTTTAAATTGTTCTACATGACCTGGGGGGCAGCTGTCTTCTGGCCAGCACAGATGGGGGTGGGGGCTCTGTGGGGGTGGGGCCAACTTGATACAGGCGATAGAAAGGCACTGGGACGTGGGGGACCAGGGTGCCCCCCAGAAGGGCAGGGTGCCCTCGGGATGCCCCTGCACCATTTCACACAGATGTGGCTTGGTACCCACCAGAGCCCATGGTTGATAAGTGTTTGTTGAATGACTAAATGAGCGAATGGGGAAATGTCTGGTTATGGTTAATGCCTGGTAGGGGGCCCCATGTGATAACATGACGGGTTGCTCCCTAGATGTGAGCCAGTGTGTAGGGACACCTGCCTCCTACCCCATGGGTGGGGACAAGTAGAATGGAGGGTCCCCATGGCCCCAGCCCCAAGGCACTCTCCATCTGTACCATTCTTGGGCAGTGTCTTGCGGAACATGGCCCTTCTCGTTAAAATAATAATAAACAGTTGCCTTTGTTGTAAGTAGGGCCCCCTGGAGGGCCCCGGAGCTGTGCCCATGTGGGTGACTCTTGGGGTGTGCCTGCACGTCAAGGACACTTCAACGCACCGCGCTTCAAATCAGTGGGACAGCCCCATGATCGTCCTTCTGAAATGTCTCATTTTAAAATAGAAAACCAGAGAAAGCACAGTTAGTGGTTCACTTCAGCTTGTAAGTCAGAAGACAGGAGAATGTAGAATTGTTATTATTATTTTGAGACAGGGTCTTGCTGTGTCGCCCTGGCTAGAGTGCGGTGTCATCATGGCTCACTGCAACCTCCAACTCCTGGGCTCAAGCGATCCTCCTGCCTCAGCCTCCTGAGTAGCTAGGACTAGAGGCCTGGCTAATTTTTCTATTTTTTGTACAGATGGGATCTCAACTTTTCTCAGGCTGGTCTTGAATTCCTGACCTCAAGCAATCCTCCGCGTTGGCCTCCCAAAGTGTTAGTATTACAGGCATCAGCCACTGCACCCAGTCCAGAATGTCGAATTATTAAGAAAGACACATACATATATACCAACAAGAGAGGAAACTGAAGCTGTTCTCTTTGTTGTTCTACCCAGGTACTTGATGCTAACGGGTAACATCACTCAGTCAGCAAACACCGGTTAAGTACCTGCACGGTGACACTGGGGTGAGAAGCTAAATCACATAGATCCCTGTGTTAGAAGGAAATGTAAATAAGCCATGACAGGCCGGGCGGGGTGGCTCACGCCTGAAATCCTAGCACTCTGGGAGGCCGAGGCGGGAGGATCGCTCAAAGTCAGGAGTTCAAAACCAGCCTGAGCAAGAGTGAGACCCTGACTCTACTAAAAATAGAAAGAAATTAATTGGCCAACTAAAATAAATATATAGAAAAAAAAATTAGCCGGGCATGGTAGTGCATGCCTCTAGTCCCAGCTACTCAGGAGGCTGAGGCAGGAGGCTCTCCTGAGCCCAGGAGGCTGAGGTTTCCGTGAGCTAGGCTGATACCACGGCACTCTAACCCAGTCAACAGAGTGAGACTCTGTCTCAAAAAAAAAAAAAAAAAAAATAGCCATGACATCTGGGGATGGTAGGAGTTAGGAGATGGTAGGTGATGGTGGACTCCGGACTGGACCTGAGTTCTGTGACAGCCCCCGAAACCTTGTTCTTCGTATGTGTAAGATGGAGCTACTAGAACTATCCTTTTGGGGCTGCTTTGGGGGTTAAATCAGACGATAGCGTGTTACATGTTACAGTGCAGTAAGGATGGCCTGTAGGCGGGAAGGACACATGGGGAGGGCAGAATTGGGTCAGTCCTTCCCGGGTGTGAGGCCCCAGTGTGGCTGGTGATTTGCGGGTCCCGGGCCTCTGTTATTGTGGGGTGCGCTCTGAGTTAGCGAGACAGAGAAATCAGTTTTGCTGCTTTTCTCTGACCTGTCTACGCAGAGAAATCACTGTGCCTTCAACCTCAGCAAGGCAGAAGGCATGCACGTGGGGGCAGGAAGGGCTCTCGGAAAGGGGTGCTTGCCTGCCTTTGCCCAAGTCCCCATCTTCATGCCTCTGTCGTCATTTGTAAATGGCGGCATTTACTTTCTGCATCCAGGAAGTGTGATCTGAACATGCACCTGGCTACATCTTCAGGAACCAACGAGTAGAGTCAAAAGGGGACCCTAGAGATTATATACCAGGAGAATACTAGTAGGTTTTGCTTCATGTACTAACTTCCGCCGACTGGTAGTCAGTAGAGTGCTGAGTTCAGAAGGATTCGGAGGCCGAGTAAGAAATGGTTGTGATTGACTGCGTCTGCCGCAGACTCAGGGTTAGAAAGCCAGGGAATTTTCTAGCCTGCACATTTTAGAGGATTATGTGTTTTGATTGTCCACCCACATCTCTGTGCCCGCGTCCACCCTTACAGCATGTGTGGTGTGAGGTGGTTTCGTTTCTGAGTACTGTTAGCATTAGAGACAGCCCAGACGAGCTGCTCAGAGAGGCTGAGACGAGTTGGTTTCTTTGCGTCAAGACTCCAGGAAACGGTAGTCAAGTAAGGTTTTTCTTAGACTCGGCCGTTGGCTCAGGCTGCTGTGGGATCCCCTTGGTGTCCCCTGCACGCAGCAGGTGTAGCTGCGGGTGGGTGTGGAGGGTGGCTGGTGTTTCTCCTCCACCGCCCCGAGAGGTTGCGTGTGACTCAGTTGGTGTGGAAATCCACATGGCTTCATAACCCACCCCCCACCCCCACCCCTGTTTCTCGCTCTGGACACCAACTCTAGGCAGCTTAACCACAAAACATTTATAACCCGGCAGACACCATGCTCTCTGTCCTCTGGGCCTTTGCACATGCTGTTCCCTGTGCCTGCAGTGCCCCCACTTGCCTATCCCCACCGCGTCTGTCTCCTTTCCATCCGGGGGGGGGCTCAGCTCGGCGGCGTCGTTCCCTTTGGGAGCCTTGCCTGATCCTTGGCCCTTTTTCCAGGATCCCATAGCATTTATCCGCTTTGAAAGCGATGGTTTGCTTGTCAGTCTCCATGCTGGTCTGAGCCGGGAGCACTGAGTCCCGGCACATGGTAGGTGCTCGGCAAGGAGTCGTCTGTGGGTTTGTTTGTTCTTGGCCTGCTCGACTCTGTCGCTGAGCCAGCCGTGCTGGCAGGGACCCAGGAGAGAGTCCTCTGGCATGTTTTAAAACTATTCAAAACCTACAATCTGGTAGATTTATGAAAATAGCAGTTCTTACTACCGAAATCCTGAAGGAGATTGGGCATCAGCTTCTCAGGAGAAATGAAGGAACTCCCGCTACACGGCCCTCCCCCACTTTTCTTATCTTTTGCAGAAATCTGGAGGGGTGGGGATCACAGGATGCGTTTGTTACAAGCAAATGTTTTTATTCACTCAGCCTGGTGAGAACTAGTGGCAGCTCTGCTTCCTTGGAACGAGGGCAGGCGTGAATTTCTTAGTAACCTGTTCGTCACCGAAGAGTTTGTTATTATTTTTTTTTTCCGGGAAAATTTTTCTAAGCTTCCGTTCTCTTCCTTTAAAACCATTTTTTTGTGTGTTACAAAACTGAGCAAACAGCAGTCCATGCTTTTCTAACAGTGCTCTGGGTCAGATTTCATTTTTTCTTGATGTCTGGTGGGGGTTGGAATGGATGAAGCAATGAATGAATGACTAGGGGGTGTCACTGAGTGTCATTGCAGGGCGCCAAGGGGGCAGGGCCTCCTCGCGGTCCCAGCGCTCGGGTGCGCAGGGCTCCCGTGGCACCGGCCCGCGTTCTCGCTGCCCGTGGCCTCCCTCTGCAGCACTTGCTCCCGCTCTTGAGTTGCAGTTTTGATCTGCTTGGCTGGGGGCTGGGAACGGGGATGGCCAGAGTTGTCTAAATGATTCTAAAGTATGATATAATTGGCTCCTTTGGGGCCGTTGCTGGGCATAGAGCGCACATAGAGATTCTCTGCGCTCTCATCTCTGCTTGGGCTGATCTGAGGCCCTTAAAAGGCTTCCTCGTGTCTCATCTCCCTGGCGGCCACAGTGCCAGGTAAACGGCCTTGGCGGAGGTGAGCCTCACGGTAGGAAGGTGAGCCTTCGATGGCTGGGAAGGGTCTGTTCCTTTTATATCCACCCACCTGGGCACGCCATGGGCACTCGCCGATGACGTGCACAGGCGGGACAGAGGGAGGCGGGAGACCAGGGTCGGGCTGCCGGTGAGACCGATCAGAGCTTTGTCAGTGCTCAGACGGGTGTCCCCTGCCCCCTCTCTCGAAACTAAAGCTCAGCACCGGATCAATAGCTCGGTGTTAACGGAGAAGTGAGTCGTTGTGGTGATGTGTATTAAATTCTATGGATCAGAGCCTCTTGCGCCAAATAAAAGGTCTCAAGTTAAAAAAAAAAAAAGGCATAAGAGTGAGAATTTTTTCTTGTCAAATATTGATGGATTTCCACACTTACTAGCAAGAGAAGGATTTAGCCATGGTAGATTGATTCTCGGGTATGTTGTTGAGAGCAGGAAAGTGGCCTCTGACCCTGTGGTTCAGCCCACCGGCCCCTCCCGCCCCACCTGCCCTGCCTGCGGGCCAGGCCAGGCCAGGCGGGGGCAGGCGTCCCTGGTTGAGCGGACTTCCAGCCCCAGTTCTGAGAGTCGACAGTGATGTCATCGTCTCAGCAGGAGGCGTTTCTAGTTGTTTCTCAGTTGAGGGGTAAAAAAAAAAAAATCCCTCTACCCAGTGGCAGCCACTCAGGTGTACGCACTCTACTTTCCAGCTATGCATTTATTTATATTTTTAACCAAAAGAGAATTCTGCACATAAGTATTTGAAGCCATCTTGCATTCAAATATATCCTAAATATCTCTTAATAAGTAAGGACCCTTAAATCAGCATCTCTTTTTAGCGTGTACGGTGAGCAAAGTGCAACAGGAGAGAACAACCCCCACAGGAAATACGGAGTTGACTCTAAAATGAGGCTGTGTGCAACCTTACCCTTTTCATTATGCGAAATTCTAAACAGACGAGGGAGGAGGAGTAGGAGGAGGTTGCATGTTCATATGCTCCTTATGCCCAAGTACCTGAAATGAACCACAGCATTAGTTTCTAGGACAGAAGTTTGGTTTTTTTCATCCCAGCAGTCTCGAGTTGATACTTTGGGGCGTTTTGGCAAAGTGTGGGTAGGAGATGGTAAATCTTTCAAGAAAATGATACTATTTCTGGCATGCCCCTCCTTCTCCAAATATAGTGGATATTTGATATAATGCAAAAAAGGCAGAAAACCTAGAATGTTTTTGTTTTTTTTTTAATCTGATAAAGAAACTCTGCTGATCACCCAGGCCAGCTGCCCCCATTGTATAGATGTGGACATTGAGGCTTGAAGACAGTATGGCTTGTCCAGGTCATACTGTTTATTCAGATGATTGAGATGGATAAGCAGATGAAGACATACTCAGCTTTAAATATAATCAAAGAGACACAAATTTATTTTTTTTATTTTTATTTCTATTTTTTACATTTACATTGTGGTTTTAAAAGAGACACAATTTTAAATGATGAAATAGGATCTTTGGCCTGTGTCTGATTGGCAAAGCTGAGGAAGAGAGGGAAGATAGGTGTTGGTCAGGGTAGGAAAATGGGGCTTAGCACCTGTTTCACAGGGTAAAGTGCTAAAACCTGTCTGCAGGGCAGTTTGAGATATGAAAAGCTTGAAAGATGAGTTTACCCCAGGGAAGTAAGGATATGCGTAAAGATTCGCCACCAAGATGTTCTTTGTAGCATTGTTTAGACTGAGATATGGAAAAATCAAACCTCTGGAAGGGGATTGGTTGAATAAGTTAGTGGCCTTGGTACAAAGTAAGTGTGCAACCATCAAAAATGACGTCTGTGTGTTTTCTGGAATTCGCTTTAGAATACTGCACCCAAGCAATGAAACGTATCAAATGGGGAAAAGGAGGAGGAAGATAGATGTGCAGAATGTTGATAACATGAAGCTGAGTACGTGGGGTTTATCGACTGTTCGGAATTTTGCATAATGAAAAGGGTGAGGTTGTACACAGCCTCGTTTTAGACCCGACTCCGTATTTCTTGTGGGGGTTGTTCTCTCCTGTTGCACTTTGCTTACCGTACACGCTAAAAAGGGATGCTGATTTAAGGGTCCTTAATTATGACGAGGTATTAACCATATATTTGCATGGAAGGGGGCTTCAAATAGTCATGTGCAGAATTCTCTTTTGGTTAAAAATGTAAATAAATGCATAGGTAGAAAATAGATGGAGTGTGTACACTGAATGGCTGTCACTGGGTAGAGAGGTGGGTTTGGTTTTTTTAGTTTACCAAATAATTTTTTTCCCCTAGAGCAAACGTGTGTCAATGGTGAAATTATGTAAATAGCTGGGATTAATTAAGTCTGTTGCTCTCTTGCTGCAGGGAAGAGCATGGAGGAGATTAAGAAGGTGCTGCTGCTGGTGCTGGGCTGCGCCGTCCAGGTGGGCATTGCGCGGGGGCCGCAGACGAGCCCCCTTAGCCGTCTCGTGTCTGGATCTGTGGGGGGGGAAACAAGCTCAGGTGGGAGTGATGCTCCCTTCGGTCCTGTGAGACAGGAGGCTGCTGGGTTCCTAGGAGACAGGGGCCATCATCTTAGGTGGCCGATGTGTCTACTACCAAGGCACCATGAGCAGATCGGCCCCAGTAGAGGAACCTAAAGATCAAGGATCTGCAACCTACAGCCCGTGGGCCAGATTGGACCTGCCGCCTGTTTTTGTTGGCGCCTATATTTGTAAATAAAGTTTTATTGGAACACAGCCGCGTGCCTTCCTTCACGCGCGGTCTGTGGCCGCTTTGTCATTACGACAGCAGCGTTGAGTGGCTGTGACGGAGATCAGACGGCCTGCGACGTCTGAGATACTTACCACTCGGCCCTTTGCAGATGCGGTTTGCCACCCGCTGGCCTAAACCAGGCGTCCTCCCTCTCTGCATGGTCAGGGATCATCTGGAGAGCTTGTTTAAAAGGAGGAGCTGTGTGTCCCACTCCGGTGTTTTCCATCTGGGAGGGGCTCAGGGATGGGCTTTCTGGAAACAAGCTCCCCAGGTGATTCTGACGTGGGTGGTCCTGGCAACACCGTATCCGGGCTGGTGGGAGGTCGAAAGTATTCTGGGTTGTAAAGGAGAAAGCCGGGTAAGGGTGGTTCATTTTGAAACTATATTTCTGTGGCTGTGGCGGCCTCAGGTTTACCCTCGCTTGAAAAATGCCTCCATTAACACATGTGACCCTCCGCAGTGTGAGAGGAAAGAGGAGTTTATTGAGAGAATCAAACAGCTGGACATCGAGACGCAGGCTGGGATCGTGGCCCACATCCAGGAGGTAGGTGTGCGGCCTGGCGTGGACTGCTGCCCCCGCGGCAGCCGGCGGGCAGAACCCCTCCCCGGGTGGAAAAGTTGAAAGACTACATCACCCATTAACGGTTTTGCTAACTGTAGGTTTCAGACACATCGATTCTATTTGGAAAGGTAGCCATCAATCAGCCAGCTAAAATAAAATGGGGGTAGAAACAAAAAAATTAAAAAAATAACACCTCAATCAAGTCGTCTTTTGCCTCCTTCTTCTTACCTAATATGGACTCAGACTATTTTTAAGAGCTGTCAAGTGATTTAGGCTCAGAATTTGATTTACAGGCCCTGAAAATGTATTCTGGCAAATGTCACCCAGCTTTGAACGGTTGATCTTTATAGAGATTCTCTGCTTCTGTCATTGACATGGCAAGGAAACAAGCTGCCACCACTTGGGAATCAAAACCGGAGAGTCCCAGAAGAGCTGCCTTGGGGGACCCGGCCCAGCCCAAGCTCAGGCCCCGGGGGTGGGTCGGGAGGGCTCTGCGCTGCAGGTCATGGGGGTGGCAGAGGAGGAGGCACCACCAGTGACATTGGCAGAGGTGGTCTCAGCTGAAAACTGGCTCCCCTGTGGGGCAGGCGCCTACCTGCAAGTGTCCTGCCCTGACCTCCAAAATAAATGTTGCATGCTTTAATTATCTTAGGGGATGTGGGTGCAGCATTCAGTCTAATTGGACAGATGACATAAATGCATGAAATGACGTGAGCACATAGGAGCTGGTGTGTAACTGGCAGAGGCAGCTGAGCACTGAACTCCCCTTGTCACATCGTGATGGGCTTTGGTGGGCTGATGGGCTTCCCCGGCCGGCCGGGCACTGTGGGCTAGGGAGTGCTGAGCCGGGATCCGAAGCAGGAGGCAGATGTGGCTTGTTGTGGGTGGTAGGGGGGTCCACTGACGCCAATGTCAGGGGAAGTCAGAATCATATTAATAGTAAGCATTCGCAGCCATCACTGGCCACCTGTCAGCCTGACAAACATTCTGCCTTTCAGTTTCCCTGCGTGTCTCTGTGTTTTGAAAGTGTATCTACCTAGAGCAAGAGACCAGACAGTTCTTGCTATTCGCTGTCTTTCCTGCCCGGCTAGCAGAATTCCTTTTTTTTTTTTTTTTAAGTACATCGCCTCGAGTCCTACGTGATTGTCAGATTCAGTGGGTGGCAGTGGGGACCGGGCTCCTGAATTTCCTGGGTGCTTTTGTAAAGCTCAGGTGTCCAGGCCCCATGAGCAACACACTGAGCCAGAGGGGGGAGGGGCAGGAGGCTTTAATTATAAGCTCCGCAGGTGACCCTGGTGCGGCCAGGTTGAGCCCCTGAAGCCCAGCCACACACATTAAGGAGGCCCCGAGACATCAGAGGATGGGCCTGGGGCACCGGCCCCCAAATCTCATGCCTTTAGGGCACCCTGTACCCTGGGACAAGATTTCTCCTAATTCTCAGAAATCAGCTGTATCTAAACTTGTCCTTTTAAGGTGAAGAGAGGTGTGAAGGGGATGTCTTTTGAGGTACTAAAGGGCCCTGTTGACGGGGCCTTGTCTTTTAATATTTTTTGAGTTTGCCTTTTTTTTTTCTTTTTTAAAGCCATTCACTGCCTGCATTTACTGCTCTGATAATTTAAGGACTCTTTTGGTGGGTTTCACTGAATAGATTGTCCTGGTTTCTTTGTTTTTGTTTTCCCCCACTGAGGCCTGAGAACTATAATGTTTCTCTTGCAAAAACGTGGCTAGGAGCTTGCGGAGATCCTCTGCCGTATCTGGGGTCTGGACTCTGAGAAGGCCAGGTCAGCAAGGCCAGTCGGGAGGCTGCTCCGTGTGGACAGGGCTGTGGGCTCCTGCCCAGGGAAATGAACTCAACCAGACCATCTTCTATGGCCTTTGGGAATGAGATATACCTTCCTCTGAAAATGGTTTTAGATTCTGAATAGTTCCCCAAGAAACCCCAAGATTGCTGAGTACCAACATTCTGATGTAAGGTTTTTTTTTCTTTTTTTTGGAGATGAGGGTCTCACTCTGTCACCCAGCCTGAGTGCAGTGGCCCAGTCATGGCTCTCTGCACCCCAAACTCCTAGGCTCAAGTGATCCTCCTGCCTCAGCCTCCAGAGTAGCTGGGACCATAGGCACGTGCCACCATGCTGCCCAGCATGACATAAGATTCTTAATATTTTTGCTCTGTATTAGATTTTATTTTAAGCAATAACAAACCCCTTCCTCGTCCTCCCACTCTGAGGCTTACCCTTCTGTGTGTTGTAAATAGACGTAGCTCCAATGAAGATACCTTATCTCAGGATCTTTTAGGGGAATGATTGTAAGAAGTGCTTTCTGGTACTTAAAAAAAAAAGAAATCAGTGTCCTCTTTGAACCAGTTCTGAAAGCAGAAGTGGTTTGTATTAGTGGTACTTTGCTGAAGAGTTGGCTGCCCTTGCTTAGGGAACCCTTCTCCTTGCCACAGAAAATGTGTCCCTAAGCGATCGATGGTGTTGGTGGAATGAGACGCCGTTTGCAGTGCTCGAGGGAAGCGGGTGCCCACCTCCTCCTGGGCCACCGCCGCGTGGCTGTGGGCAGGTGGGCGCTCTCGGGAGCCTCTGCAGTGCTGGACCGTGTGTGCCCACAGGTGACCCACAACCAGGAGAACGTGTTCGACCTGCAGTGGCTGGAGCTGCCCGACGTGGCCCCGGAGGAGCTGGAGGCCCTCTCCAGGAACATGGTGCTTCATCTCCGGAGGCTCATCGACCAGCGGGATGAGTGCACGGAGGTGCGTGTGCGGGGCCAGGCGCTCCGGGCAGGTGGGGCGGGGCTCGGGCCTGGGGTGCAGGGGGCCCGCCGCTCTCCTTTCTCTGTCTCGGGCTGGGTGCCTCCCGGTCCTGCTGGTTCAGTTCTTGTGTGGGGGGTGGGACATGGGCACTTTCCCCGGCTGGGCTTCTACAGTAAACAGTCACCGCAGAGACACCTGGGGGAGGACAGAGGAGATCAGAATGCCAAGCTCAGGGTCCTCCATTTACACACTCCCCTTTTGCCCCACTAAATATTTCGCGTCTTTCTGAAAATTTGCATCACCCTTCTGCCTCCCTCCTGGTTTCCTAGTCTCAGCTGACATCCTCTCTTGTCCTCTGGTGTTTTTTCCACCCACTTTGAGCTCGGCCAGGCGCACACTGGTTACCCCCTTTCATTCTCCTCTGTCCCCTTCCTGCCCGCCTGCAGCTGATCGTGGACCTGACCCAGGAGCGGGACTACCTGCAGGCGCAGCACCCCCCCAGCCCCGCCAAGTCCTCCAGCGCGGACTCCACCCCCAGCCCCACCAGCAGCCTCTCCAGCGAGGACAAGCAGCACCTGTCCGTGGAGCTGGCCGACACCAAGGCCAGGCTGCGGCGCGTCAGGCAGGAGCTGTGAGTCCCCAGCTGCTCCTCCCACTTGTGTGTCGCCAACACGTTGCAACATGCCATCCGCACACACATGGTGCTGCCGATGGGACAGCTCTGACGTGGGCCCCGGAGTCAGCCGGGGTCTGCTCTGAGCTCACTCTGCGACCATAGACCCGTTACCTCCCCTCCTCGGGCCTGCACCGGGAGGGAGGGTTCTTCCCAGTCTTTAGGGCTCTTGCCAGCCCGCACGTTATAGATTGTCTACAAAGTAATCTGCTGCCACACTAGTCCATTTGGGGACTGGAATGACCACACTCTGGTGTGTTTCCTTGGCTGGAGGGAGGAGACACCTCACACCATCTGGTGAGCCGGTTCTCCCAAGCTTCCTGCAGCTGATGGATGTCACCGGGCCAGTCACGAGCCACCCACCCGCCTGCCGTCCGCATCAGCAGGCGCACGCCGCCCACCTGAGAGTGGTGTGGCTGCGGCTGGGGTCGCCATACCTGCCCCGAGCACTCAGAGGGAAACCCAGGCGGACGTAGTTTGAGGGCGGGTGCTGAAAACTTAAAAAAGAGAAAAACTTTTGGGAACATTTTTGAAGACTCCGTAAGCGGATCTCCTCCCCGCCACCCGAGGCCGGGTCCCTTCCTCTCTCCGCTGCAGTCTAGGGAAGTGGGAGCCCGCTCCCGAGGGCTTGCCCAGGAAGCTCCTCCCACGCTCTTCCTCCTGATTGTTCTTGCAGGGAGGAGAAGACGGAGCAGCTTGTGGACACCAGACACGAGGTGGACCAGCTGGTGCTGGAGCTGCAGAAAGTGAAGCAGGAGGTGAGCGGAAGGCGAGAGCCTGCGCCCAGGGGTGGCAGGGCCAGCAGTCCTGGGTGCCCAGGGATGTGGCCTGGAGGGTCAGCAATGCAACGTCGGCACTTCCAGCAGAGCCGCCCGAGAGCACTGCGGTGGGGATGACCGTTTCCTGGCGATGGTGTGCGGAGACCCCCGTGGTGGCACGCACACGTAGCCCTGCGGCCACCAGGAGCTGGCTCGTGCTCGGCCGTCCTGGAGACTCCACGTGTTAGCGGCGTGGCCTCTCTTTCCCCGCAGAGGGGTGCCCTAAGCTAGGTACCCCTGCCTTCTCTCTCCTTCCAGAACATCCAGCTGGCGGCGGACGCCCGGTCGGCTCGCGCCTATCGGGACGAGCTGGACTCCCTGAGGGAGAAGGCGAACCGCGTGGAGAGGCTGGAGATGGAGCTGGCGCGCTGCAAGGAGAAGCTGCACGACGTGGACTTCTACAAGGCTCGCATGGAGGTAGGCGCCGCGCCGCAGCCAGGCGAGGGTGCCGGATCGGGAGCAGGTTCACACCGGCCTGCCCTCGGGGGCTTTGGGGGCCAAGCCAGAGTCTGGCACCCCAGCCCGCCCGGACTTCCCAGGCCCCCCACCTCTGTCCGTGGCGTCAGGCGGGTGGGGGGTGCCCGCTTGGTGGAGGGCAGGGATTCTTCCTTTTACGGTTTTCCTTCTCCCACCTGTGCCACAGCGATGACCTTACATTCCCATGTGTCTTTTTTTGGTTTTAAAGGTTTCTTGCGATGGCTGTGGCTAATTTTTAGGACTCAAGTTCCTCATCTACAAAATAGGAATAATGCTGCTCTGAGAGGAGCAGTATTTATTTTTGTTTATTTATTTTTGAGACAGAGTCTCACTCTGTTGCCCAGGCTAGAGTGACTGCCGTGGGGTCAGCCTAGCCCACAGCAATCCTTCTGCCTCAGCCTCCGGAGTAGCTGGGACTACAGGCACGCACCACCATGCCTGGCTAATTTTTATATATATATATATATATATATATATGAGTTGGCCAATTAATTTCTATTTATGGTAGAGATGGGGTCTCACTCTTGCTCAGGCTGGTTTCGAACTCCTGACCTCGAGCAATCCTCCCCTCTAGGCCTCCCAGAGTGCTAGGATTACAGGTGTGAGCCACCGCGCCCGGCCTCTATGAGGTTTTAAAGATGAAAGTGGTGCAGCCCCTGTAGAGAGGTTTGGGCAGGTCCCATGGTGACCACCAGGTGGAAGCTGCTCTGACAGGTGTTACTTTACATCATATCCAGGTTATGGGTCCGTGTGGGTGGAGGGGTCAAAGGTAAACAGAGACCTAGACCCAGGTGAGGTGACTGATGCATTGACCACCTGCCCTGATGGCTTCACGCCAGCAGTGGCATCCGGGACCCTCTTCTCTGAGGTTTTGGGAATTGTGTCCCCATTGTCCATACAAGGGATTTGGAAGTGGTCTGATGGCCTAAAAAAACTTGTTCCGCTTAGGAGACTCGAGCTGGGTGGGTGCAGAATGCCAGCCCGTGTTAGCGGACTTGCTCAATGCTAAGAGAGGACCCCAACTCTCTGATTACCAGCCAGGAGGCTGCTTAGGTGACTGGATTCAGATCAGGGGAGCCCGGAGTTGCCCCGTGAGACCGCTATGTGGTGCGTGCGGCAGCCTTGCTCGGGGACGGCTGTTGGCTGAGGCACTTGACGTGCTCTCGTGCTGTCACTGGACCCTGGAGTCCCTGGGCCAGGCGAGGTGGGCTGGAGGTGGCTGTGGCCCAGAGCCCGTTTGTTCCTCAGCCTCACTTGGGGAGCATCCGCTGAGGACTGTGAGTGACAGGGTGACTCACACTACCTTCACCGAGAAGGTGCCCCTGATGCCTCGCAAAGGCAGCCTGGCCTGAGCAAGGGGCAGGTGGGGAGGCCGGTTCTCGCCTTTGTCTGGAAATGACCCGCTGGCTCTGTTGACTGTGAGAGGCACAAATCCCGGCACAGGTGGGCTCTAGGACGAGGCAGGTCCCGCACCGTCGTCCTCACCTGTTAGCGATGCCCCAGTTGGGAGGGCCAGGGACTGCCACGCACAAGCTCCTTCGGCTCCGTGGGGACGTTATGCAGCCCCAAACAGGGTCCTGAATGGATGTCGCGCCCACGTCTCACCCGACCCGACCCTCTGTCCTGTGGTGGCAGGTGGTCTCAGGATCCAGTCTCCACGTTCCTTCCCGGCCTCGCCCAGCCATGCACACGCATCTCCCCGTGTGCGTGGCCGAGCTCCCGCAGCAGGACTATGGGAGAGGTGCGGCGTGAGGACCCCTTGTTCGTGTTCTCGGATTTCACGCCTCTGTGTAGTGATAGCAACGTTTGTCATATTGATTAATAATTTTCGTAGTGAAAAGTTGCCATGAGGTTAATGATGCCTTCAATTTTGTATTCATTGTATTAATCACGAAAAGAAAGAGAAGTCGTGTCTGTCCACGTGAGACGTTTGCTCAGGGGCCGGTAGTGACCCACGGGGGTTTGCAGATGCGGAGCAGCCAAGGCAGGGGGCGAACGGGGCCTGGTCAGTGGAGTCCAGGCTAACGTGGAAAGGAATGAGTTGGACTCTTCTCTGATGACACAGTGTCAGGACTCAGTTATACACTGGCGGACACTCATCCTTGGATTGAAGTAGTTGCAGTAGCCTTGCAGACTGTCTTCTGTCCCTACAGGATGCTTAGAATGATTTGTGATTCCCTCCCTTGTCCCTCTCTCAGGCTCCAAACCTTTCTGTGTATGAGTGACATTGTCTCCCTCATGCAGTGACAGTAACTGAGCAGCATGGGTGCAGTAAGGGAAGGGGCAGGGGCTGAGCTCCCAGGCTTGCGGTCTGGTGAGAGAGGCAGGCAGGCCCAGGCTGTAACCCGGCACCGTAAGTGTCTTTCGTAGAAGACAAGAATGGCAACGGGCTTCTAGATCAAAGTGTTGGCAGAGTTACATTAAAATACTGCACTCCCTTAATGCTCAGTTTAAAATGAGACATAAAGCACCAGTGTCTCTAAGAGGACTCAGATCCGTGCCATTAAAATATTAGCAGGAAGGTATGTTTTTATTCAGTGTATTTTTATGGTGTGGCCATAAGAGATGCACCTATGTAGTGGCTGTCATCGGAATGTAAATGTGGACACGACTGCATGCGTCCCTCCCTTTTTACTTCCTGGATTCTTCTGCCCTCCGCAAGTGTGCTAGGGGCCCCACTGGGGGTGGGTGGGGAAGGCGTTCCTGGGGAGGCGGTGTTGAAAGTGACACCTAAAATGGCAGGGAGGAGTTAACCAAACAGGGAGAGCCACACAGAGGGAGAAGCGAAGACCTAGAAGCCTGAGAAAGCGTCATGCGGGAGGACACCTGTGTCCAGGGTGAGCGGTGAGAAGCGGGGCTGTCCGGGTGGCATTGCCCAGTCACGGAAGGTGTGCAGTGTGCGCCAGCCTCATGCACCTGCGTCTTCACAAGGGGTTGCTGCGGTGTGTATTTCGGAAGCTCACTCGGGCCACGTGGACCCAGGTCTGCCTGGCACATGAGCCCAGCGTTCTGCTTCCCGGAATCCCACTCGACTAGAACCCCTGGGACAGGAGTTTGCTTTGTGCTACTCACAGGTATGTTCTCAGCATCCAGAAGAGTCCCTGGCCGCCCGTGGGAGGTGTTAGAGAAACACTTGCTGGGCGACTTGTACCTGGGGTTGGCTGCGGGCAGCCCTGCATTTGCTGCATTTGCGGGGCCGGTGGTTGCTGTGCTGCGGTGGAGGCCCTGCCTTCTCAAATACCTGCAGGTGCGGGAGCGCAGACCTCCCCAGCCAGCCCGCCTACCTGAGCGCTACCTGAGCACTCGGGTATGTGGTGAAGGTAATGGAGAATGCAGCTCAGAGATCTGGGGAACAGGTTGCTTTGAGATGAGAGCCAGGGACTGAGGTGAGCCCCACACCTCAGTACAGTCAGTCCCGGCCTTAATGCACGTGTGACTTTGATGGGCCATGTGTGTGTTTCATTAAATAAGTGCACCCAGCTTGATATGCACGTCCATATTTTTCAGGATACAGTGATGCACATTTCCAAGGGATTTGCTGTGAGATTCCTTAAGAATAATTTCTATGCAATTAAAAGCAAGCAGTGCCCTGGGGGAAAAAAATGCATTTGTGAATTGAGGTCGGCCTGCAGGTGATAAAACTTTATTTTTTTTATTTTTTTATTTATTTATTTTTTGAGACAGAGTCTCACTTGTTGCCCGGGCTAGAGTGAATGCCGTGGCGTCAGCCTAGCTCACAGCAACCTCAAACTCCTGGGCTCAAGCGATCCTCCTGCCTCAGCCTCCTGAGTAGCTGGGACTACAGGCATGCGCCACCATGCCCGGCTAAAAACTTTAGATTAAAAAGACCCCAGTGTGAGGTGTACACATACAGAAAATAAAAATTAAATGGACAGGGGGATTAGATGGATGGATAGGTACACGATAAAGCAAATGTAGCAAAGATGTTAAATCGTAGAATTATCTAGGTGGTATGTGTATGAGTGTGTGATAAAGTGTTATTTCAACTTTTCAGTAAATCTTATATTTTTCACAATAAAATACTGGTGGTGGAAGGGCTGATCCAAGTAAAAAGGACAGCAGGACATTAACCATTTTGAATAAGCTCAACCCTGGTTAACCATACCAGTTTGATTGTGAAATAGTTAGAAATACTAGTGGTTTAAAGCCGTGCAGCAGCTTCCCATAAGTCTTCGATCTTTACTTCTCCAGACACGGTCTGCGTCTACATCAGACTCAGCTGAGGGTGTCTGTTGACAAGCACCCTGGGGACCCTCAGGAGTGGGCCCTGGGAATCTGCATTCCGCAGGCTCTCCTGGGCGATCCTCCCTCCCCTGCAGAGGTTTTACAGTTATCCTTATTTTTCAAGAGTTAATACGTTCATTCTAGGAAACTGAAAAAGACAGGAAGCGAAGAGCAGAGTCATCCACAGTGGCAGGCGGTTGACAGTTGGACGTGTCCCTCCTGGTCCCCTGTGCGTGCACAGCACCCAGTGCTACGTGACTGTGATCGTGCCGTGTGCGTCGTGCTTTCTCACACACCACGCGTGTTTACCAGTTCAAAACCCCAAAGCTCTACGAGTATTTTGATAGCCAAGAATACACTACACCAACTCCATCTGTTTGGAAGAAACGTAATCCTGCCTCTTTCTCTGCACAGAAATTTCGTAGAAGACAAAAATGGCAACGGGCTTCTAGATCAAAGTGTTGGCAGAGTTACATTAAAATACTGCACTCCCTTAATGCTCAGTTTAAGATGAGACATAAAGCACCAGTGTCTCTAAGAGGACTCAGATCTGTGCCATTAAAATATTAGCAGGAAGGTATGTTTTTATTCAGTGTATTTTTATGGTGTGGCCAGAAGATGTGCACCTACGCAGTGGCTGTCATCAGAATGTAAATGTGGACACGACTGCACGCGCCTCTCCCTTTTTACTTCCT